GCTGGACAAAATGTGCCTGAAAACTAGCATCTTTCTGTTTGGCAGGTGCCGGGGATTTATGGTTGAGTTTTGTAGACGGTTCATCACTTTACAAGCCAGCTCAGGAGACCCTCATAAAACTCTGCTCCTATGAAAGAACAAACTAGCTGATAAAAGTCAGCTGCTGCCTATAAATGCCATGGGGGCTGCAAGTGAGTGGTGGATTTATTTATTAGTCTGGGCTCTCTGAGCAAATTAAGAACTACCTCAAGAGTTTGAATCAGGAGAGGCTGGGGGCAGAGCACATTGTTGCCTGCTTACAGGATGGCAGAGGGGCCATGTTGCTTCTGTCCCTGTGATTTACTCCACTGGAGACCAAGGGAATGGTGTTTGCTCAGGGATGTAGTCTCCAATTTCTTATTCTTGCCTCTCATGGAAAGAATCAGCCATAATGGCCTATACACTCACTGCATTCTTCATGACAGTACAATTCCCAACAGGCGTGCATCTACACTGTGAATCTACTTTTTTTTTTTTTTTTTTTTGTCAGTTGTGGGACTTGAACTCTGGGCCTGCACCCTGTCCCTCAGCTCTTCAGCTCAAGGCTAGCGTTCTACCACTTGAGCCACAGCACAACTTCTGGTTTTCTGGTGGTTTACTGGAGATGAGTCTCGCAGACTTTCCTGCTGGGGCTGGCTTTGAACTGTAATCCTCAGATTTCAGCTTTAGTAGCTAGGATTACAGGCATGAGCCACCAGTGTCTAGCTTCTACTTCTCTTATTTACCTTTGTATTGCCAGTGGTCAGTGCTGTGCTGGGACTCAGGGAGACTTCAGGATGGATGTGGCAGATTTATGTTCCTACTATCCCACTCCAAACAGCATGCATAGAGTTTCTAGGAGAGCAATGCTGAGTTTTAGCCACGTGCTGCAAGGGGATGGAGAAAGAGGAGGTACAATGAGGAAGGGATGAGGCCAGTTTCTCTCTCAGACAATATTTGGAGCTGCTGTTCTCGGCCATCCCCCATGCCTCCCCTGCTTGGTCCCTTTTCCTCGGGATTAAAGAGCAAAAAAAAAAAAAAAGAGCAATCCTGTAGCTGTCTGAAGGGAACTAGTTAAGAAGGCAGATAGTGCACTCTTTCCTACGTGTGTAAATCAGATACCCAGAGCTCAGCTCTAATGTTCTCTACCAAGTACCAGTCTCAGAAAAATGACTTTCCTTTGCACTATGCAGAGGCTAGGGAGTGTTTCCAGAAAGATGGGGAGGAGAGTGCCTGGAAGGGGACAGCCTTGTCCATTTTTTGTTTTCGTTGGTCATGGACTTTAACTCTGGGTCTGGGTGCTGCCCTTGAGCTCTTCAGCTCAAGGCAAGCGCTCTACCACTTCAACCACAGCACCACTTCTGGTTTTCTGAGTAGTTTATTGGAGATAAGAGTCTCACGGACTTTCCTGCCTGGGCTGGCTTTGAATCATGATCTTCAGATCTCAGCCTCTTGAGTAGCTAGGATTACAGGTGTGAGCCACTGGTGCCGGCCCTCTGCCAATTTTTTAAGGACTGATTTTCCTTTTTTTCAGGCCCAGGCATACAGGACAAAGTGTAAGACTGGCAGACAACTCCAGGAATCATTCCAACCCCTTTGGCCATGGGATCAGAAGGAAGAGTAACTAGTAAGGTTGCAGCTGCCCCAGAAAGGGATTGGGACACTTTATGAGCCAAATGGGGGTAGCTCTGTGCTGGACCCATAACCTGTGCAGGGCAATGGTATGGGGGAAAGAGCCAGGTACAAATCCTGGTGGCATCTTTGAAAAGTTATGGGAACAGAGAAAACTCATGTCTCAGGCTTCCCACCTGCTTATAGAGGCAAGTAAAACGCAACAATGGAAGAGAAGGGATATTGGAGTATGGGCTGGGTGTAGTGGCTCATGCCTGTTATCCTAGCTACTCAGGAGGCTGAGATCTGAGGACTGTGGTCTGAAGCAAGCAATCCAGGCAAACAAAACTTTGAGTTTTTTGGGGGGGGAGGGGTCCGGTCATGGAGCCTGAACTCTGGGCCTGGGTGCTGTCCCTCAGCTCTTCAGCTCAAGGCTAGCACTCTACCACTTGAGCCACAGTGCCACTTCCAGCTTTTTTCTTTTTGTTTATGTGGTGCTGAGGAATCGAACCCAGGGCCTCAGGCATGCAAGGCAAGTGCTCTACCACTGAGCTACCTTCCCAGCCCCAGCTTTGAGATTCTTAACCTCCAATAAACCAGCAAAAAGCCAGAAGCTGACGTTGTAGCTTAAGTATTGGTACATCAGCCTTGAGTGATAAAGCTAAGCAAGAGTGCCAAGCCCTGAGTTCAAGTCCAGTCATACACACACACACACACACACACACACACACATCCAACAAGAGTATGGCCCAGAGCTATGCATTGAGTAGATGACTAATAGCTCTTCTGTGAATTCTGATTCCTCAAATGTATGCAAAATCCTCACTTTTCTCACATGAACCTTACAGCCCTATATACACATATAATCCTTTCCATTCTACAGACAGGGAAACTGAGCAGTCTGAGGTAAGTTACTCCCCAGAAGTAACTTCCTAGAGCCTGAGACCCCATCTGAGATCTAGGTGAGAAGCAATGCAACACACTTTCCTGAGTCAATTATGAATGTTCTCCTTCCTACATCTGCCCTCAAATGTGTATTGGCCCTCCCTTTTCATAGGAAAAAGGCTGCATAAAGGAGCCCGTGTTTGTACAACTTGGGAAAGTACCTGGCTTCTCATCCTTATTATTGGCAGACAAAGCACAGTCACCATAAGGCTTTGGGCGGGCAGGAGTCCTTTTCTTTAGAGCCCAAGCGGCCCACCGGCTTGGGACAGCTCTTACTCTGAGAGCAGAACATCAAAACCAACTTGTGAATATGGTCAGGATAGGTATAGGAGAGAGGCCAAAATCCTTTTGTTTAGTCCCAGTCCACTATATCTCACAGTGACGGAGGGGGGCCTCTGACCCAACCAAGGGAAACAGAAGTCTTGCTCCATGATTGAGAGACATTACCTAATGAGAACTATTCTCAGTATGGTGATTGTACTAAATTAGTGTTCTGGGTTTTTTGTGTTTTTGTTTTTTTAATTTTGGAGCCAGTACTGGAGCTTGAACTCAGGGCCTGGGTGGTATCCTTCAGCTTTTTCACTCAAGATTGGCACTGTACCACTTGAGCCACAGCTCCACTTTTGGCTTTTTCTTGGCAAACTGGAGATAAGTCTCAGGGACCTTTCCTGCCTACACTGGCTTCAAACTAAGATCTTCAGCTCTCCTGAATAGCTAGGATTACAGGTGTGAGCCATTGATGCCCTGCTAAATAGATGGCATTTTAATAGCAGAAAATTATGAGGGAACTAAATAAAAATTATAGTTACTACTAAGCACTATATCAACATATTTGTTTCTCTTTAATCACTACCTGTTTTAAAGAGGAAGGCTTAAGAAGTCTTAATTATACAAACACAAACGGAGAAATGCATCATGAGGTGATTTTGTCGTGTGCACTTCATGTAGTGTATTTATACACATACAGATGGCTAGAATGTTGCTCAGTAAAGTCACCTTAAGAGGCCAGCCTCATATACTGGTCCTTCATTGACTGAAATGCTACACTTGTGTGTGTGTGTGTGTGTGTACACATAGTATGTAGCCTGGGCCACACTGAAACCATGTCTCAAAAATCCATGGGTATGGGAAGTAGCTCAGTGGCAGAGAACTTACTTAATATACACAAGGCCCTGGGTACTATCCTCCATATTCAAATATCTTCTGAGTTAAGTTTATGATAATTTTCCTAATTCCTGAAAGAATATATTGCATCTTACCTAAAAAGTGGACAATGGTGCATTTCTTGTAATATTTCAATTTTTTACAATCTGAATGTGTTATCTTTATAGACAGACAATATGAAGACCTTGGAAAGTATGTGTAAAATGTAAAATAACAAATAAAATGTAAGATACAAAAGGCATAATAATTCACAAAATTGTATTAATGGCATATAGTTGTGTTGAGTGTATTTGTGGATATGAAAGATGGCCACGCTATACATAAAATTTCAAAAAAGACAATTTAACCATAACCTATTTATTTTTCTTTTGGGAATGAACTTTGAAAGGATATCAAGATGACTCTGATGGAATATTATATTGTTCTACATTTACATTTTTCCTATACTTTTTAAACATAAGAAAAACACAAAGCCATTTTTATTTTGAAAACTATCCTTATTCTGGGAGTCTCATTCCCAGTTACTAGCCCTTACTAACAGCTCCCTAAGATAGTTTTCATAAGGATTCATGCTGCACGATCTCCCCCTGGTGGCAGGTTCTGGAAACAGACATTGACTTCATAAAGTCTTGAGATTGCTCAAACATTTTAAAACATTTTCCACCAACATCACTTTCTCCTTTCATTTGTACGTGAGGAATGAACTTAGGGTCTCATACAAGCCAAATGTGCACTCTTCAACTGAACGCCATCCTCATTTCAATCATCATGAAGTCAGATACTGTCAAAAACAAAACTAGGACCTGGTATCAACTAGACACAATGTTTCAGATGATGCGAGGGGCTCCCTACCATTTTGGGCCTTATAGGAGACAGACACTGTGCTAACCAGCACAGCCTTTCCTGTTTTCTTCCATCATCTTCCCTGCCCCTCAGAAGAGGACACAGTGGCTATGTAACCCTCATCCATGACCTGGCAGGGAGAAGCTTCAGAGACATCTACCAGTAACTGTCCCCAAGACCCAGTCCTGGGCTTTTTAGAATTGATTTTTTTTTTTTTTTTGGCCAGTCCTGAGGCTTGAACTCAAGGACTGGACACTGTTCTTGAGCTTCTTTTGCTCAAGGCTAGCTCTCTATCACTTGAGCCACAGCGCCCCTACAGGCTCTTGTGTTTATATGGTACTGAGAAATCGAACCCAGGGCTTCATGCATGCTAGGCAAGCACTCTACCACTAAGCCACATTCCCAGCAGCATTGATATTTTTAACACACCAAGCTGTTACACTGTTTCTTTAGAAGAATGTGGCAACACCAGCCTTCATTTGTGGGGCTCCAGGCTGCCAGATAAACATACAGTTTCCTTACTCCTTCAGGAAGAAGGAAACAGTCAATAGGGTATCTGTAATAGAAAGAAAAAAAAATTAACAGGTCACCTTGCCAGAGAACACAAAACATCAGACTTAAGGAAAGGAGATAGGAAGGAATGAACAAAACTGGTACCTTGTACAAGGTCCTGGTGCTCGTGTTCTGAAATTTGGTCCCAGGCCTTGGGCAATGCTTGGATGCCTGCCAAGTCTTCCCAATGGATTGAGGAGAGGAGGTTCTTTCTCTTCAAGTACTTTTTGGGAAGTTAAGGACTGCTCAAAAAGAAAATGAAGCCAGGTGCCAGTGACTCACACCTGTAATCCTAGCTACTCAGGAGGCTGAGATCTGAGGATCACGGTTCAAAGCCAGCCTGGGCAAGAAAGTCCATGAGACTCTTCTCTCCAATAAACCACCAAAAAACTGGAAATGGTGCTGTGGTAGAGAGCTAGCCTTGAGCTGAAGAACTGAGGGACAGCGCCTAGGCCCAGAATTCAAGCCCCACAGTGAAAAGAAGAGGAGGAGGAGGAGGAAGAGGAGGAAGAGGAGGAGGGGGGGAGGGGGAAAGGGAGGGGGAGGGGGGAAGAGGAGGAAGAGGAAGAAAAGGAAAATGAAGAGCCAGGTGTCAGTGGCTCACACCTGTACTACTAGATACTTCAGGAGTCTGAGATCTGAGCATCACAGTTCGAAGTGAGCCGTGGCAGGAAATTCTGTGAGATTCATCTCTTATTAATCACTAAAAAGCTAGAAGTGGAGCTGTGGATCAGCTTTTGCCTTGAGCAAAAAAGCTTAAGGACAGCACCAAGTCCTTGAGTTCAAGCCCCAAGACTGGCACTGGGGGAAAAAAAAGAAGAAAAGAAAATCTATTGCAGGAAGGAAGTACCCTGGTGAGAGCAATGGGAAGCTGCAAAGTTAAAGTGTGATCACCATTATACTTTACCATGTGACAAGATCGACCTGGACCACAAGTATTTCCTGAGCAGCTCTAGTGACACAGTTCTATGCTACTAGGGAAGAAAAACCCAGCCCTTCCGTGAAACCTATAGAACCAGAAACTGAAAAGAAAGGTGAGGTAAAAGATAAAACTCAGTGGTGGTTCAAAGATGAATACATTCATTTTCGAAGAGAGCAAAACATTCCAGCTGGTAGGAGACACAGAAGCAAAGGCATTGGGAGCGGGGAAGCATGGGAGGATAGACAAAGCAAGCCTTCCAGGGCAACTGACATGTAAAAAAGGTGTGTGAGCCAGAACACAGAGCACACACAAGACCAAGATAAGAATTCTGAGCCTTTGCCGACTAGTGACAGAAGCCACTGATAATTCTGTACGAAGTGCCTGGTCACTACTGGACTTTCTGAAGACACTTGAACAACTGTCATTAGTTGGAAACACACAAAGATATTGTTGAGAAGCTACCCATGATTAAGAATCCATGTGAAGCCAGGTACCAGTGGCTCACTCCTGTTATACTTTTGGGGAAATATTACTTGGAAGGCTGAGAGCAGCAGGGTTGCAGTTCAAGGCCAGTCAGGGCAGAAAAGTTCACAAGAAGCCGGGCGCTGGTGGCTCAGGCCTGTAATCCTAGCTACTCAGGAGGCTGAGATCTGAGGATCACGGTTCAAAGCCAGCCCGGGCAGGAGAGACCGTGAGACTCCTATCTCCAATAAACCACCACAAAAACCAGAAGTGGCGCTGTAGCTCAAGTGGTAGAGCGCTCGCCTTGAGCTGAAAAGCTGAGGGACAGCGCCCAGGCCCAGAGTTCAAGCCCCACAACCGACCAAAAAAAAAAAAAAAAAAAGAAAAGTTCACAAGACTCACAAAAATAATCTTTGCTCCAATGTCACTTCCTCCCAATACCTGCTCTTACCATTCTATTTTAAACTCAACATTACATCCCCACTATACTTTTTTCCATAGAACATATTGCTACCAAACACGTTTTTTGTTTTGTCGGTGTGGCACTTGAACTCTGGGCCTGGGTGCTGTCCCTCAGCTCTTCAGCTCAAGGAGAGTGCTATACCAATTGAGCCACAGCACCACTTTCAGCTTTTTCTGTTTATGTGGTGCAGAGGAATTGAATCCAGGGCCTCAGGCATGCAAGGCAAGCACTCTACCACTGAGCCACCATCCCAGCCCTATTTTCTTTTTCTTAATGTCCATCTCTCAACATCTTTATCAATGCCTAACAGGTAAACTTTGAGGCCAGATTATTATTTTTAAAAAAAAGAATGCAGAAGGAATCCAAGTTCAGGAACAAAAGAGACTGAAATCATTAAGTTTTCTATCTTGTGAAACTGAAAGTAAAAAAGGACTTCTTAGAACAGCTCTGGGCACTACCTGAAATGGACATAAAGGATATGAATTCCGATAATGTCTCTCGATATCTTGCAGCCGTTCCAACATGTCAGCCACAGAAGGGCTCACAGCTGAAGGCTGCAGGACAGCATCAATACCCACTGTGTGTGCGTGTTGCTCATAAGTCTGGAACACTTGCTCCACATGGTTGCTGACAGTGTCACGCACCTTAAGAAGGGTGGCTCTGGGGGAGAGATTACAACATTAAGCAGTATCATGGCAGAGGTAGGTGAGTTTCTTCACCCTGGCACTACCGGTATTTGGGATAGGATAGCTGTGTTGTGGCGGGCTATCCTGTGCACTGCAGGATGTTTAATAGAATACCCAGCTTCAACCTACTAGGTGGCAGGAGTAAGCCATGTCCTCTTCAAATTATGATAATAATGTCCATATCATGACCACATGCCCATCACAGAAAAATCACTCCCAACTGAGACCATGCTCTAAAGAGATAGGTAGTAGTACCTTGGAGGTAGAGGTAGCTCAAGAATTGACAATTGAGGGCTGGGAATGAGGCTTAGTGGTAGAGTGCTTGCCTTGCATGCCTGAGGCCCTGGGTTTGATTCCTCAGCACCACATAAGCAAAAAAAAAAGCCAGAAGTGGCACTGTGGCTCAAGTGGTAGAGCGCTCACCTAGAGCTGAAGAGCTGAGGGATAGCGCCCGGGCCCAGAGTTCAGGCCCCACGATAAAGAAAAAAGAAAGAAAGAAAGAAAGAAAGAGAACTCAGAAAAAGCCAGAAGTGGCTCTGTGGCTCAAGTGGTAGAGCCCTAGCTTTGTGCACAGAGAAGCTCAGGGACAGCATCCGGACCCGGGGGTTCAAGCCCCAGGACCAGCAAAACAAAATAAAAATGAATTTTAAAAAAGAAGAACTAATTTAAAGATAGAGAAGCTAGCTGGGCCCTGGTGGCTCACATCATAACCCTAGTTACTCAGGAAGCTAAGATCTTAGGATTGCACTTTGAAGCCAGCTGGAGCAAGAAAGTCTGAGACTCTTATCTCCAATTTATCACCAGAAAACCAGAAGTAGAGCTGTGCCTTAAAGTGGTAGAGCACCAGCCTTAAGCAAAAAGAGTTCAGCCTAAGGGAAAACACATAGACCCTGAATTCAAGCCCCAGGATCAACAACAAAACAGAAAAAGAAAGAAAGAAAGAAAGAAAGAGAGGGGGGAAGGGGATAAGGAGGGAGGGAGGGAGGGAAGGGGCTGGGAAGGTGGCTCAGTGGTAGAGCGCTTGAATTTGCATGCATGAGGCCCTGGGTTCGATTCCTCAGCACCACATAAACAAAAAGAAAAAAGCCAGAAGTGGCGCTGTGGCTCAAGTGGTAGAGTGCTAGCCTTGAGCTGAAAAGCTGAGGGACAGCGCCCAGGCTCAGAGTTCAGGCCCCACGACCGGACCAAAAAAAAAAACAACAACAAAAAGAAATAAAGAAAGAAAGGAAAGAAGGAAGGAAGAAAAGAAGGAAGGAAGGAAAAGGAAGATGGAGAAGCTAAAAAAGTGGTGATTCTCAAAGATAAAGCCCAGTTGCCAAAGAAAGTAAGGATCAAGGAAGCTATCTGGGGCTGCCATTAAACTGTGAAGCGAGAGGAAATGCTCACTTATGCCAAGAAAACTGAAGCAACAAACCAATATGCAAAAAAGGAGGCCATGGACAGCACCCAAACTGGCAAAAAAAAAAAAAAAAAAGTATACAATTAGTGGATCTCCACATTTCAACAAAATCATGAACCATCACTGCCATATAATTCCAGAACATTTCCATCTTCCCCCAAAGAAATCCTGCATTCACTCAATAGTATTCATTCTGCCATTCTCCTCTTCCCCTAAGCACCTATTTTTTTAAATTCTTTGTTGTGCGTGTGTGTGTTCTAGGATCTGAACTCAGGATCTCACACTTGCTAAGCAGGTGCTCTACCACTTGAACCATGACTCTAGACTCTTATCCTTTTGATACAGGGTCTCCCTTACACAGATCAGGCTAATCTCAAGCACATAATCCTCTTGCTTCAGCCTCCCCAAAGCTGGGATTATAAGTGTGTACCACAATGCTCTCAATTTACTTCCTTTTTATCTCTATGGATTGGTCTATGCTGAGTTTTTCATAGAAATAGAATAATACAAAATGTGGGTGTCTGGTTTCTTTTGCATAGCATGTTTTCAAGTTTTATATATGTGGTGGCATATATCAGTATTTAATTTTTTTAATAACTTAGTAACATATTTCTTTGTATGAACTTACCATCTATTTTTTTTTAATCTTCTACCAAAGAAAGCTATAGAGGCGGACTAATCCTTCTCTGCTTTTGCAACTTACCTTAATCCCCTACCCCACCCCTGACTACCATGCTTGGCTTCTGACAAGAGAATGGTAGCTGATGGCTTTTTTTGGGGGGGCGGGGGCGGCAGGGGTCGGTCATGGAGCTTGAACTCAGGGACTTGGTGCTGTCCCTGAGCTCCTATTCTAGTGCTCTACCACTTTGAGCCACAGTACCACTTCAGGTTTTTTAGCCTGCTCGGGCTGGCTATGAAACGCGATCCTCAGACCTCAGCTTTCTGTGTGGCTAGTATTACATGCGTTAGCCACCAGCCGCCCACCTAGCTGATAGCTTTTGACAAGAGGTCGCACAGCAACGTAAGGATAGGCGGGGAATGGGCTACACATCCAAATATCAAGCTCTTAAGGAAGGAGAAAGCCACCCTTCTGATCAGGCGAACTACTTATAAGACAGTTAGGTTTAAGATCTTTCCTTCAAGAGGAAGCGCCCAGGAACCTTACAGTCTTTGGGCTAGCTGGTCCAGGACGATGTCCCCAGAGGCCAGCTGCTGTTGCCGGAGGCGCTCCTGCACGTTCGGGAAGGCCCGAAGCGCCGGCACATCCTCGAAGCGCAGGCGGTGCGCGGCCTGCATCTGCTCCGCCAGGTTGCTGAGCGAGATCAGCAGGGGCTGGCAGTCCTGCACGGTGCCCTGCCACAAGCCCTGCTGCTCCTCCACCGCGGGGAAGCACTTCCTCAGGGCCTCCTGCACAGCAAGCAAAGGCTGCCCTTGAGGCATCTTCTGTTGGAAAAAGTAAAACAACAACAAATAGGGTCGGGGGGCCAAGGCGGTAGGGGAGGTACCCATTCCCACCCCGTGGGAGGGTCTCCAGACCCGCCAGCCGGGAACCCCGGCTGGGCGTCGTCTGGGGCGGCCCACCTCAGGAACCGAGCCGCGGGCCTTCCAAGGCAGATCCTCTGCGATCGCTTCTCACTGCGGATTTTCAGAGGCCCAGCCTGGTTTTCCTCAGGGCCCGGGTCTCGTCTCCTTTCCTGAAAGTTGCCCAGTCGCGCTCCCTCAGAAAATCTAAGAAGCCAAGGAAGCCACCAGAAACAGCACACAGCCTGGCACGCTCTCCTAGGCGCAAGCTCAAAAGCGACTACCAGGCTGGGGGGTCGGGGTAGGGCAAGGGGGGGGGGAAATACGTCGTAAAGCCGCAAAGGCGTCTGGGCGCTGTAGTCCTCCTCAAGGATTGGCTGCCTGAGGAGAAAGGGAGGAGCTTCCTTGTGATTGGGTGCTGTCCTAAGACAGCGAGTTCTCATTCGCCAACTGGTAGCAATGAAGTTTGAATCGGACGGCGGTTAACCGCGGAGCCGCTGCTTTGCTGCGGCGTCGGTGAGAGTCGGTTCTTCCAGAGCTTTGGGTCAGGAAAAAGCCAAGACTCCCACGGACGACTGCCGTCTTCCCTCTCCGTCCCGCGCAGCTCCTTGGTTTTCTCCTCCCTGCCTCCGCCGTTGATCCTTGAAGCTGGGCCTCCGCCCGACCGCCATGGCTCCCCGGAAGCGTAACAGTCGGGCGACCAAGACCAACTCGTTGCGGAGCCGAAAACTCGCCTCCTTCCTCAAGGACTTCGATCGTGAAGGTGAGGAGCGGGCGCGGGCTCCTGGCCGCCGCGGCTCCCCGGGGCCGAGCGGGGCGCAGCGGGTGGGGCGCGCCGGCGAGGCCGACTCACACGCCCTCCCCGCCCCCCGGGGCCTGTGTCTCTCTGGCAGTGCAAGTACGAATGAAGCAGATCGAGGCCGACCGGCAGAACCTCCTCAAGGAGGTGGACAACCTCTACAACATCGAGATCCTGCGGCTCCCCCGGGCGCTGCGCGACATGAACTGGCTCGAGTACTTCGGTAAGAGCTGCTCGAGGCCCCGCTCCTTCACCCGGCACACACGCACGCACGCACGCACGCACGCACACCACCTCGCCTACTTCGGCGTGTAGCCCAACTGTAGTTCCCTTGTAGTTTGCCTTCAGAAAGGACTCGCTCTGATGTCCCCTTCTCCTCCGCCTGTCTCCCCATTCACAATACTCACCAGGCCCAGAGCCTGGCTGAGGCGCATAGAGGGTGGTTTTTCTTTGTCTCCTCTTTCTATACGGTCCCTGTAGGAACTGATCGTTAGCACCTGTGGTAAGCAGCAAGAAGATAAATGAGGGCTAAGCTCACTTAGGGACCACCTGCTGCTCCAGCCCTCTCCCCTTTTCATTGAGTCAGAGGGTTCTCTGCTCATCTTTGCTGTTACAGTTCCAAAACAAGTACAGTGAATGGAGTGTCCTTCCAATAAAATTTTATGTACGGACACTCTGAAATGTTCATTTCCACAGGTTAGGAACTATTTGTTGTTTTGTTTTTTGTTTTTGTCGGTCGTGGGGCTTGAACTCTGGGCCTAGGTGCTGTCCCTCAGCTCTTCAGCTCAAGGCAAGCACTCTACCACTTGAGCTACAGCGCCATTCCCAGGAACTACTATTTGTGTGTGTATTATGTTCATCCATTTACAAATGACTGAATAAATGGTTTGTTCACGAATGACTTGTTAAAATATTCAAGGAAATGCAGATACTGTCTACTGTTACCCTTAATTTCTCATTTTCCTGATTAGTAATGGTCCTGTGTGTTGCTTTTCTTCCTAGATAGCAATGCAAATTCCGCTTACAAAGAATTTAAGTTTTGTGTGTGTGCGCGTGCGTGCGTGTGTGCGTGGGCTCACATTCCCGTCCCGGGGCTTGAACTCAGGGCCTGAGCTTTTTTGCTCAAGGCTAGTACTCTACCACCTGACCTACAGCTCCAGGTCTGGATTTTTTTTTTTTTGGTAGTTAATTGGCTTTCAGGCTAGCAGGCTTTGATCTCCCCTTCTGGGTAGCTAGGATTATAGGTGTGAGCCACCAGTTTAATGGTTCCTTTTTATTGGTACTAGCAAACAAACTCAGGGGCTCAAGTATACAAGACAAATCTATGTGCTCATTTCTAAAACAGTTGAACATGTGTCAGTGACAGTGTTATTTCTGGAATTAATTACATATACAATTACAGGTATGTATTTAGACTTGTAAGCATTACAAAAGAGATAGACTGGAGTACTGCCTCAGTGAGTTTCTTATGCCAGATGGGCATGCCACCAAATGTTTTGCATTAGCATTAATTTTATCTTTAACAAGTTAATGTACTTGTTTTAGAATGACAAGAATAAGGCATAGAGGTTACTGCGCTCTTGGTCTCATAAGCTACTTAGTAGCAGAGGATTCATGAGCTCTAGGCATTCTGTTTGTAAAGCTTGAGATCTTAACTCTGTCATAAAGGATACCATGAGGGTTTCTAGCAAGATCTGATCTAAGGTTTTATCCTACATTTAAATCTCACAGAGCACTTTTCCTTTAAGAGGGGGAGGAATCAAGCTTGGAAAGAGATTAAATTGTGACATTCTTTCATTGTTAGACCTAGGGCTTAATCCTATCCAGCTTTAGAAAGGTAACCTATTATCCTAGTTTCTTGGGAGGCTGAGATCTAAGGACTGTGGTTCAAAGCCAGCTTGAGCAGAAAAGACTCTTAGGTCCAGTTAACCAGCCAAAAACAAATAAAAAAAACCCCAAAAGCAGAAGTGGAGGTATGGCTCAAGTGGTAGCACTTTGAGTGAAAAAGCCAAGAGTGTGAGGCCCTGAATTCAAGCCCCAGTACTGGCACACAAAAAAGGTTTATTATTCAAATCTGATAGTAACTAATTTTTTTTTTAAGCCCTTGGAGGAAACAAGCAGGCCCTGGAAGAGGCAGCAACAGTAAGTTACTTTTCTTTAATTTTTGAGTTTAGTCATAAAATCCATCCATTGGGCTGTATGCTGTAGAAGAAGTTTCATCATGCCAAGCTCCAGTGGCTTCACTCCTGTAATCCTAGCTACATAGGAGGCTGAGATATGAAGATCATGGTTAGAAGCCAGCCAGGGCAGAAAAGTACTCATGAGACTCTTACTCCAATTAACCATTCAAAAAAATGGAAGTAGAGCTGTGGCTCAACTGGCAGAGAGCTAGCCTTGAACACAAAGAGGCTCAAGGACAGGGCTAAGTTAAGCCCCAAGACTGACAAAAAAAAAAAAAAGTTTCATCGGGACATTTTTTGTGTCAGCTGAAAAATATGATTATGTCAAACACTGAGGACATGAAGTCCAAATGAGTCCAAGTCTATTCCTGTTTATAACAAAGCCCTTCCAACCTTGCCCAAGTTTATGTTGATAAGGTAACTTCTGGAAAGTCTCTGGGTAACTACTGGATGAGACACATGTAAAGACTCTGTTTTGCAATAGCAAAAAAGTACTGATGAAAGAATGGACAAATTCATTGTGATATCACACAGTGGCATATAATAGAAAACAAATTAACTGCAATCAGAAATAAGGACCAGACAGCCAGCACGTGGTTGTAATTTGAGCCAGAAGCATCTTGAACTTGAGAAAAAACTGGGCTATGTGATAGGTTTGAGGCCAGACTGGGTTCCATAGTGAGATCCTATCTCAACAAAGGGGGGAAAAAGGCTGGTTTAGTGGTAGAATGCTTGCCTAGCATGCATGAAGTCCTGGGTTTGATTCTTTAGTACCACATAAACAACGAAAGACCAGAAGTGGTGTTGTGGCTCAAGTGGTAGAATGCTAGCCTTGAGCACAGAGAGGCTCAAAGATAGTGCCCAGGCCCTGAGTTCAAGCCCCCGGACTGGCAAAAAAAAAAAAAAAGGAAAACAAACCCAAGCACAGTGGGTCATACTATGTAGGAGGCTATGTAGAAGGCTAAGACCAGGAGGTTCACAGTTCAGGGTAGCCCTGGCAAAAAAAAAAAAAAAAACGTTCATGAAACACCATTTTAACAGAAAAAGCTGGGCAAAGTGGCATACACCTTCCATCCCAGCTACGGTAGGAAGCAGGATAGGAGTATAATGGTCCAGGTGAAAATAAGATTATAACTTGAAAATACCAAAAGCAAAAAGGGCTGGATACATGGTGGCTTCAGCAGTAGAGCACCTGCCTAACAAACATGAAGACCTTAATTCAGAACCCAGTACTGGAAAGACCATGCACATACACATACACATATGTAGGTATATGTGAACACATTTCATATTTATGTAAACTTTCTTTTGAGGTAGTGGAATGATAGTGGTTACTGCTGAGGAATGACCAGTCATCTTTAGGGGAGACAAAGTGGAGAAGGAGTAGCTAGATACAAGTTATTGCCACTGTTCTAGATCTTGGACTGTGCTAGGTTTATGGAAAGTTCACTATTTTGTGTTATTAACATTCAACTTTTTGTCACATATATGATGTGGTTTTCAATTTGTATTTCATCTTGATAAATTCTTTGATGAGCTTTGTACTTTGTGGCTGTATTTTACACAGGCTGATGTGGATATCACAGAAATAAACAAACTAACAGCAGAAGCTATTCAGACACCTCTGAAATCTTCTAGAAGTAAGTACTGGTTACTTTTTGTTTTGTTTTTCATGGTTTTTTTCATGGTCTAGTCATGCAGCCTAGACTGGTCTCCAACTTGTAATTTTCCTATCTCTGCCTCCCAAGTAAGTGACAGGCATCACACAGCTTTTGTGAGTACTCTTCAAAACCCCTTATTGAACAGAGAGAGCTAAGGTCCTGGGAGTTTTTAAAACTCCTCAGGCAGGGCCTTATTTGGTGCATTGTCTCTTCCAAGAATGTCTGTCTTAAGCTTATAAATCCAAAAAATGTGATTTTGGTCACTACATTCAGTTAATTATATGTAAGGCTGATGCTAACCAAACTTCTAAGACAGATATGTGGGCTAAAGGATAGGAAAAGAGCTAGCATTATTGCCTGCTTACTTTCCTTCAAGTAAAAATGGTTAGCAAGTTTCAGAGAGGTATTAAAGTACAGTTCATGCCAACTGAAACTCCCTGATATCATCAGAGAACTTTCTCAGCATATAATCCATGTGACTCAGAGCAGTAATTATATATATAGTATTTACTATCATATATGTAAATCTAATGTGTACCACACTCTGAGAAATACTTACAGGAAAGTTGTATAGGAAGCCAGGTTGTAACTGATGAGAACGGAATCAGGCCAAGATAAATGAGATATAGACGGAACACCGCTGTGAAT